GTACTACAACGGAACTATCCACAATAAAATAATAAAATGTCCATTTAAAGCCTGGTATTAGACGTTAAGCATCTTCAACCATTGTAAATCGATAACTTTACGCATGGAGTAATACAACTTTTTAATTAGATATCAAGCTGGAGCTGGGTGAAAGCTTTGTTTTCAAGACTTGACATATTTGAATAAATTTTGCTTCTATTTTTGACAATACAGCAGAAGGACTAACCTATTTTGGCCGCTTGAACACTTGATTCCGTGTGTATTGTTTCAAGATAGTTATAGAAAAAATGCTGTGACGAGTGCGCGTAGATACATCCGCGTAGTAAACTGATTGAATAAGTAAATCCGTTTCGAACGAAATATCTAATTTATGCGATTATTTACCGAAGCGAGAAAAAAAGGCTTATTAACATTTAAAGAGTGCCACCAAAATAAATGTGATAGGCTGTGTTGGCAAAATGATTAATATTGGTTTCCTCTCTAGATATTCTACTTATTTGAGCTTTGTTTCAAATAAGCACGTATTTCAAAATTTCGCGACGGTACCGAACAAATTCTAAACTACATACGTTCAAACATCAATTTTACCTGGTGTTTCACTTTCCGGCAGGTGCTTCCAAAAATTTAATATTTTGTTATCGTAAAATTGAACATATTTGTAGTTCTTTGGCGAACATATCAGCTCAATTGATCATAAGTTACCAAAGTTACATCATGTCAAAGTTGACCATTTTGTATGAAAATCAGCATGCGCTGCTATTCTATCGAACACAACTGTAGGCATGTTGAATCCGACAGCCGCGAAAAGTTAAACATGCATCAATAACACATAAGGAAAGATCGATTGTACAGTCACGTAGGGTTTGGTTCATGGATTAACATTGACTGCTGTTTACAAATGTAAGTAAGTACTAAGGTTATTCAAATGCTTTAACCGCATACATATATCAGAGATTTCGCGTATTCAGAGAATAATATACTAATCGCGTACAATAAACTCAGGGGAAAACAATACCTACAGAAGATTAAAAAGTATTAACTGTTACATACCTCTAATTTTACTTATTTCCTAAACTATTCCTCTCCTTGTTAGTCTGCTTAATGCTATTGGTGTGCTTGCGTTTTCTTATTGAAGCTCAAGACTAAATAGGAAAATGTATTTTTTTTTATCCCCATAGGATTGCAATGATCGGGGTTGATGAGAAAAATTTTCAAGTGACTACGATGCCGGACGGATTAGTCTATGGTGACCAATTAAACACCGGATTCACGATATTGAAAATCTTTATGTTTCGGTAATCGTTGGTCTGTCTTTGCCTGTATGTCTTCTTCTCATTCGTACGTCAATTTTAATGTCTGGATGTTTTCTTGTCTAATGTCATGATGTGTTTGTGTATCTGTGTGTGTGGGTATGTGTTTGTGTGTTTGCACCAAATGATTATATTTCTTCCTCATCTCCTAGTTTAAACTGCGTTCAGGAATAATTGACTAAAAAAAAATAAATAAATAAAAAAAAGCACAAAATGTTGCAGAAGTCCATACCATAACATATCTAACTTACTATCGACATTTTTTGACTAATACCTAAATGTAATTTTTAATTTTATGACGATAAGTTGCTCTACTACTACTACTAAAATCACAAAAAGATATTCTCACAAATGTATTTCACGCAACCAGGAATCTGAATACCATTTGACGCTATAATAATACCTTGCACATGCTAGACACAAGAAAAGGCCAAAAGGCAAGCGTCCGACACACAAAACCCGTCAAATCAACCCACAATCAACGATTCTACGAATCGCGAGCGCTCACGAATCATAAAACCGCCGACTGCGACACTCTGAAAGCGAAATTGACGGCTCTATGCGTCAAACACCGGCCCTCCAATCTCCTCCCGCATCCAACAAACACAAATCCCTTCTACAACATCTAACGAATTCAAAACTCCGAAAATCACTCATCTATAGCAAGTGAGTGGAAGAAACCCTGCATGCAACCATTCTTCATGATACACTTTTTCTGCCTATCTTTCTATTAAGCCTGTGGACATGCGTTAGCTTCGAAACTTCTTACCAAACTGGGAAATCTATCAGATCACAAAAACTTGAAAAATCTTTCAAAGGTATTATTGATTATTTTACACAAAAATCAGCAAGTAATATTAAATCTTTTGTATCGTATGCTAATGTCAATTGACTGTAACAAAACTAATATGCTAAAATAAAATAAAATTATATGCAAAATTTACTAGAAGATCATTACTTTATTGGTGAGATGTTTCTAATAAGGCCTCCCAGTTCCTCTGTTTACAGAACAAATCTGATACTATAATCAAAATTGCTCAGTCTGCATGAAGCAGCCGATTTCATCAAGGAAGTTCTATTAACAACCAAGAATTAATCGTTTGAGGTATACTGAAGCATTAAGAAGGTGATATGTGTCACTATAGGAAATCATCATTGTTGCAAATATAAAGAAATCAAACATAACCCTTTGCTTCAGTACCGTCAACCTCCATGTCCATGGGGAGGGACTAAATAGGAAAATGTATTCTACAACTTTAAAGGTTAGTTGCCTCCCTAAGTGGACCCTAAGTATCCTAATTCTTTTGTTAATCTATTTAATGTTATTAGACTTTCTGAAGTTTCTTATTTAAGTTCATTTGATTATTATGATATCTCATTAGTCTAATTTAATAAATAATTGAAACAGAGTGTAAAGCACTGCACTATTCAATTCATTGCTCTGTGCAGACCGTTTGTACCAAACGGTAAAGGACGAGGCAATGAAAGAGCCAACAAAAACATTCAGTCACTCACAAGCAGGCGACGCACACCGCTTGCCTTCGCTCTACAGCATGTAATTGAGTCATTTTTCCATAGAAAATGTACGCTCAGTCATTCAAAACAAATATTGGGTACCAACACGGCAGAATAAACGTGTTGACTGAGCTACTGACTGAGTGCTCGGCTGTCAGTGACTCGTTTACCTCTCAATCATTCAGACTCTCACGAGGCAGTGAATGATGAGGCAGATGGCAGTTCATATTCAACTCGATGAACCTGACTGTTTTGCGCACTGAATTGAAATTTCTAATTCACCTAATTTATCATAACCCATGCTTTATTAAGTACCTGCACCTGTGCTTGTATCTAAAATTAAACGTATTTCAAGTACTTTTGACTTTGACCTATATGTATCGACCCAGGTGACACCTTCAAGTGACTAAAATGCTTCACTTTGAAATAAGTTTCCAAGCTGATTTTTTAATTATATGCTTCCACTATGTTGCACCACAAAAATACGTATGGGTATATCACAATAGAAGCACGCCACAGAGGAAATCCCGAGCTATAGTTCAAACAATTATCCCAAATCAAAATGAAGCACATATAAGATTATTTACAAAACCAAGTATAAAATGGTGTTTAGCGGCGCCGGTGGTGTAGTGGTAAGCGTGATTACCTCTCACCCCAGCAGGCCTGGGTTCAATCCCAGTCTGCACCGCCGGGATGAACTTGCATAACATCTCTCAACGGGAAGTAAACCCGTTAGTCACTGTTTAGAAACAATACAGTTTGCAATACTATTTTTAATGTAGTCAGTGAATAATAACGTTTAAAATTCAGTAAGTTTACTTTGAATTTCATGCTAAAATACAGAAAAAAAAGCACATAGGACGTTTTGAATACTCAAGTTGCGCATCGGACAATTTTTGACCTATGATTTAGACTAAAGAGCCTGAATTCATAAAGAGATGACATCTTGTCCATTTGACAGGACTTCTGTTCGATTGGAATGACTTTTCCTATGACTTTGACGGACAATCGATTGTTCCAATTTTGACATGTCGCCTCTTTATAAATTTAGGCTCTTTAATATGATTATCTTAAATGAATGAAAATAAATTTGGATGGATAATGAGAGAGAGAAGGATTAGTATTTTCCATTTAATTCCACTACTTTATTTGCTTATCCTTGACAGATACGCGTATTTCGTCTACAATGTGCAGACTTCTTCAGTGTCTTGTACTAATACTCGACTAATAGTCGAGTATTAGTACAAGACACTGAAGAAGTCTGCACATTGTAGACGAAATACGCGTATCTGTCAAGGATAAGCAAATAAAGTAGTGGAATTAAATGGAAAATACTAATCCTTCTCTCTCTCATTATACAGGTATTCCACTAAGACGCCCACATTCATCAGGATTTTGGATGGATGTTTTAGTATCACATACAATGATAGAAGATCAATAGTTTGTATCGCTTAACTCGATTTGTTTACATTCTCTAAGGAATCAAATTGGTGTTAATATATTTTCTTAATATTAATTTTGTTTTCAAATAACGTTAATATTTGCACTGCTTGCATCGAAGAATTAGTGCATTGCATAGTAATGAAAACGCATATCGGACTACTAAACGATTATAGGCAGAATACAGCCTATTTTAGCGGGAGAACCCTGTCAGTGGACTGAGCAACGCATAGTAGTTTCCAACTAATGTTACTGTTTATCCTTTATTTCATTTCCTAGCATTATTTTGACCGCTGTATTCCAAGAATGATTCGCGAGTATATCTGCTCTAAATTTAGCCCACAAAGAACCAATTGCCTCTCATCGCATCGATTGTGTCTCGGCTTATTGAATGTGTGCAGCCAGCCGTTCGTACTTGTCATCTCCCTTGAGCTAGTAGCGCGTTGTAGACAAGAAGAACAAACTACTATTTTGCAGCTCCTGTATAGGTGCTTCCGTTCCTTCTTGTTCCTACTTAGTCGTTGTCCGGAAGAAGCGTCAAAAATAAAACACTGGACTGTATGCACTATTAAATGTTAAGCTCAAGCATACTAATTCACTTTTTGTTTATTTATGGCGAAAAGAAACAAAATACTGCCGTATTAATTCGCCATTGCCAATACGGAAAAAAGTTCATTGCATTTTGAGAAAATAAACGTAGGGAAAAGTACAAAAATAAGACCTCTTTTTCTTTACCTTCATGGCGACTCATTATTTTTCACTTCGAGGCCGCGCGTACACACACAACTGCGACAAACGCACGCACACACTCTCGAGCACTGTACTCGAGATATTTGGGGACACTGTGCTGTTGCTTCTTCTTTTCCTTCTCTGCTCCAACAACGGTGTGTGTAGTACTGTTCTTATTACTTTTTTCCTGCTGCTGGTCCTCCTCACGGTGGTGTCACCCAAAAGGTGATTATTTTCTGCTTTGCACCTTTCACCTGCGGTTCACGCTCTTGCTTGACCAATTTTCTTCACTATCTCACGTTCTTCCCACCCGTGCGAGATTTCAGCGTGAATTTTCACCACAATTTTCGATACGCAACTATTCGCGATGGGGCCTTTGCCTTTATTTTCTCGTTGGTCCCCCGACTTTCCCGACAAAATCGAAAAACGAACGAACCAATGAGCGAGAAAAAGAATCACGGTACTGCTGCTCTCTCACACACACAACACACTGGGCGACGATGGCAATCACATAATCGCGTTTGCAAAATTTTTCTTCTCTTTTGTCACACAAAATGATTGCTTCCGAAATTCAGATCAAGAAAACTGCCTCAGAACTTGTGCAAATCAGACCGATCGATGTCCACACTGGTATTTCCGGGATGAATGTACGAGTTCGCAGCCAAATGGAACGCGTATTGTTGAATCAAAACTAGAAAACTCAAACTACAAACTTGGACGATGAAAAGACATTCCACACGGACCCGTTCGCGATTGTGTGTTCTTTCTGTGGATGATCGCTCTTCGATTATGATGAGTTGCAGCCGTCGTAGAGCAGAGCGACGAAAATGAGTAAATCACGCACACAACTATTACAAATTCGCCGCAAAATTTCGCCTTTCTGGCACGGGAAAGAGATTTTTTGACGTTTATTTGACATCAACTGCAGGGTTAGCCTGCGAAACAGTTTAAAAATGATGCGGTGGGATTTTTTTGCATGGGATATTTACCGTCCACGGCAAGTGAATGGATTACCCGCATGCTTGATATTTTTTGTACACGGTGTTTCGTGAAAACCCATTAATGGGTAAAAAATACCCATTTTCAAACCATGTATGCAGCTGTCAAAAAATGGGGGAATTTTGAAATCATAAAATGGGTGAAAAAATACCCATTTAAAGAATCAGTTCACGGTTGAATAATGGGTATATTTTTTACCCAATAATGGGTGAAAAAACACTTCGAAATTTTATCGTCTCATTTCCGTCATTGGGAATGCAAACCACGATGCAAACAGTTACTGTCCGCAGCAACGATCTCCGGAAAATATTAGAATCCAAAACGTTGGAGAGGCTTACGGATAAGTCAATACAATGGATAATTTGTATTATAATGTTTCGTGAAAAATTTGAGCGGAACACCTGCATTTATTTTCAATGTTTTAAAAACATTTTTACATCAACGAGCGCTTGCATCCTCCATTTGTAAAAATGGGTATTTTTTCACCCATTTTACGGTAAACACAATATAAGAAAATGGGTGAAAAAACACCCATTTATTGACAGACCACCCATTTACCCATTTATGAGTAAACCATAGTTTACCCATTAAATGAGGAGGGGCACTTTTAGCGGAAATGGGTATTTTTATACCCATTAATGGGTTTTCGCGAAACACCGTGTAGATGTTGCAAATATAAATCACTGCACGCAAGCAGCATCTAACATCTAACCTCACTTTTCCCCTGTTTGGATTCCTCCTTCTCCATTAGAGTCAAAGAGATAACAACGAACGGGAACCAAAACAAACCTGGTAGAACTGTCAAAGTTTGCATGCGGGAAAATTTAGGCTCTGAACCATTTGGCGATTTTTTAAGAAGTTAAATTTTGACAACCGTGGCTCGAAAACCGGTCAATCGACACCACGGGGATTTTCGAACATAGAAAATTTCTTTCGAAATGCCACGAGTTAAATTTAACTCAGCAAATGGTTCACATGCCGTGTTCCATTTGATGAATTTTCACTTTTATTTGACACTTCGAAAATAAATTATAATGTTCAAAAATCCCTCTGTTTTTGATCATCCAATTTTCGAGAAGGTGTTTGTCAAAAAATGATTCCTGGGTCTGTCGCAGAAATAAGTCTTGTGCAATTGCAGCTTTATTTGAACATTTTGCATCTGTCAAATTTAAGTGAAAATTCACCAAACGGAACACAACCACAGCCTTATTAGGATAGGTTTGTGCAGTCTGGAGTGATTTTTGAATAGGTCGTATGTAACAAACGTAGAAAAATACACATTTTGATGGTATCAGACACTACTCTGTTTCCTCTGTACTACCATGTTTACTCTTCCTAAAGGCAAAATTCGGGCTCACTACCGAGCCCACTACCTCATTTCTGTTTCATTTTCTCATCAAAAATCTATTTTTCAAATGTGCCAACCGATCAAAAAATAGTTCAATGTTACATATGACATTTAATTTCTATGGGAGTGTCAATCGTCGTATGTAAAAAAAATTGACAGAAGCGCAAAAACTGTTGTTTTTTTTCAAATAAAAGTGCATATTTTCTAGGTAAAACGCTTGTGGGTGGTCTATAAAATGATACCTCGACCTGCGCTTTTCGTGAGATATTACTCATTATAATACATTTTTAACATCATTTGTTTTTTAACATGAACGCTATCAATTCCTTTCTTAGCACAAACGAAGTGACAGACGACTTACTGGCGAAGAAATCCATTAAAATAATGTGGTTCACTGTAATAGAATTTTCTTGGAAGCTTGTGCCATCATCCACCAGATGGGTTAGTTTTTTTGTTTTGATTTGAACAAAGTTGATTTTGTGTACAATGATTCTTTGACAGTGTGCAAAGAGTGCGTATCATTTTGTCATTCATTTATGCATTTCAGTTTTGAGTAGAGTGAAAGAGATAGAACCTAGGATAGAACCAAAATATTCTAGTACATTTGGTGAAAATGCTAGTTCAATCCAATAGTAGTGTTGCCATGTGTTACAATCCAGTAGTAGTGGTGTTGCCATGTGGTACACTGAAAAATTGCAATAGAAGGTTAGTCACCAAAGTTTTCGAGCCGCTCCGTCTGTCACTTCGTTTGTGGTCAATAGCAGCACTCCTAAGACGTTGGTTAATGGGAATTTCGAAAGAATTATCTATCTCATTGAAAATAGAAACAATTTTTTTTATCACCAAAACAAAACACCCCTGCTTGCATGACATCCCCACAAAAGCCGATCCCTACACGGAACCGAAAAATTACCCAAAATTAAGTTCTTTTCATTCATCTCCCATGTTCCGTTCAATGAGCTAATCTTCAGTAAACCGCTTACTTTTGACTACACTCTTAAACGCTGTCCAGACTGGAGAGTTATAACATGTTATAACAGTTGTCAAATAATTGCAACACAGAAACCACCATCAAGATAGCGCTATAACATGTAATAACTCTGTAGTCGTGTTTTTTCTAATTAGTCAATGTGTGAATTTATTTCAGATTCAGCCAACGAAACTTGAGCTTTAGTCCGGATGGTTATCATAATATTACTCCTGCCAAGATTGCGAAGATTGAAAAAATTCCAAAGCCGTTGAACATGAGCTAGCGTACATCTAAACCTCGATCAAAACGTTTTCTCTGAAACAGTGAGTATTTTGAATAACTTGTACCATATGAAGTTCACTAAAATATTAATTTTTCAGAGCAGCAGCCACTTCGACATCGTTTTATTCAGCGTAACGTGGTGGTTCGGCTCGGGCCGCAATTTACAGTTTCATCCAAAAAATAAGCATCTTGTTATCTCTCTGCCATACCGGTTGATTTCCACAGTACACGGATAGAAATCTCCTTATACCTTTTGGCAAATTTCCATTGCTGATTATTCATAAATTGTATAAGTCAACTAATAAGCAGACGCCTTGCAAAAAGTTAATAAAGATCATGTGTCAAATGAAATGTATAAGCGGTCACACATACCTTTTATGCATTCTAATAGGACCTATGTGGTTTGTCTTATGGAATGTATAAGCACAAACGAAGTGACAGACGACTTACTGGTGAAGAAATCCATTTAAATAATGTGGTTCACTGTAATAGAATTTTCTTGGAAGCTTGTGCCATCATCCACCAGATGGGTTAGTTTTTTTGTTTTGATTTGAACAAAGTTGATTTTGTGTACAATGATTCTTTGACAGTGTGCAAAGAGTGCGTATCATTTTGTCATTTTTTTATGCATTTCAGTTTTGAGTAGAGTGAAAGAGATAGAACCAAAATATTCTAGTACATTTGGTGAAAATGCTAGTTCAATCCAATAGTAGTGTTGCCATGTGGTACAATCCAGTAGTAGTGGTGTTGCCATGTGGTACACTGAAAAATTGCAATAGAAGGTTAGTCACCAAAGTTTTCGAGCCGCTCCGTCTGTCACTTCGTTTGTGGTATAAGGCTGATGCTTTGGCAAAAATGTATAAGTGAAACACATGAATTAAATAATTGATTTTCGTTTCGTGTAGTTACAAAGAGTTCCGGTGATGGGAAGCGGAGGAACGTTGGGAAGGTAGAATCAGCTGCTACTGCTCGCCAATGCCCCGTACGTAACGGCATATAAACATAAATTTAATGGATATTTTTGGATCAATAAAATATATTCGTAAACTTTTTTTTATAACAATTAATGAAACATTGATTTTGATTTAATAATTATTAGTACTTAAAACGAAAAATTGTGTTTTAATGTTGAAAATTTCATTAAGAGCAGCTCATATGTAATCAAATTTACCAAACTTTCTTGCCAAAAATGTTTTTTTTAAATAAAAATAGACCCTAGGGGAAGTACAACTTGATCTGAAGTAATATTTGGTGTAAAAATTGCTCAAATTAGTAATTATTATAGTTTTTAATATAAATATTAATGATATAAACTGTCAAACGGAAAGCTACAAAGTAAACAATTTTAACAGTGTAGCTATAACCTGCTATAACGAATACACTCAATCACGGTATACATAAACAAGGTAATATACTCTCGGTTGTAAACATCAAGTTTGAATGTCGACTAACGGCTCCTGGCGAATCAAGCGAAAACGACCACGGAACGTGTATATTGATATCATGTACCAAGGTACCAAGGAATGTCGAATTTAGGAGGACAAGGAGTGGATTTCGGTGGTGACGGCCAGTAAGATCAAGTGTTGTGTTCCACCGAGGATGCACGGAGGCTTAGGCGCGTCGATGTTTTTTTTTTAAATTTCGTGTGGGTAAAAGACAGGCTACAGTCATCCCATCCAGATAAGACCTCCGCCCCATTCTTCAACTTCGATTATTTTTCCTTGTTTTATATGTGCATCTGCGTGTTCATAAATAAATAGGGAATAATAATTGAGAACTTGATAACACAGGTAATGAATTGCTATTCTGTACCCTCCTTTCGACAGAGATACACTTGTCGATAGATTTCCGAGTCCGGCAAAAAATTTTACATTCAATTGGAATCAATCAACACCTCGATCAACACAGATCCACAGCATTTGATAAATAATTGGAAAAATAATTCAAACAAATGTATACCGTTCTTTGAATTATGATTGGATTCTTTCTAACACTTCCGTTTCAAATGAATTTATTGACTCGGATTTCGAATTGTTCGTTTTGCTGGATGGCATGAATTGATCCAAGCCTGCATCACGAATGGTGTTTGCCAGCTTCAGGATTAGTTTTTTCTCCCCTCTGAGAAAAGTAAATTTTTCCGAGTTTTCTGCGTAAATCCCGTATATTTCACATTTATTTATCAAAGAACCAAATATTCAAATTTAAAAAAATAATATTTGAATAATAGTGAAGGCAATAACTTGCCTCTCGTGTGAAATCCATTTTTCATTAAACGAATGTCAAATGTACACTTAAAACCAAAAATAGTCAAAAAAAAAAACAACTGTCAGACTAAGTATGACATTCACAAATATCACAAATATTAAAATATTTAATATTTCCACCATCGGTATTGATGCTTATACTTGAAGCTGGCCTTCCCCTAGAATAGACCGCTTTAATTTCAGATTGTCATGCTTTTCGTTTGACAGTTGTACAACTCATTTTGAAAGTTTCAGCTTTTAAAAGTTGGGAGCGGATAACTTTTGAATTGACAGTTAGCTCTCTTTTGTTCTGAATGCTAAGGATTTTCTACCAAAAAGAACCAATGCAAACTTTTAATTCTACCAATGGTTTTTTTAATTTTATTAATTTTTTTTTTTTTTTTTTTAACTCTTTATTTGTTCCAAATTCAAAATAAATTACATTTCATTTTAACCTAAGTGCTCCAGTTACTGCAGTAACGTACCAGCCTTAATTGTTATGATATATATCTAAGTGTTTTTACATTGTTCATGTCTTGGCAATTCAGTATTTTAAACAGGTTTTTTAACCTGCATGTCAGTATAACAATTGATATCTTAAAACTAAAAACTAAAACTAATCTTATCTAAGTATAAAGGGAATTAATCGTTGCAATTGAGGATTGCAACGACTTTTGCCTGAAATTATTAATTATTTTGTGGGACATTTGTGCTAAAGTCTCAACATTCGAAATTCTATGTACATACCTCGGTAGTACTGTACCAGGGAGGCAACTTCAAAATCATTTTCAGAATTTTGTTCTGAATCCTTTGAAGTGCTTTTTTCCTGGTAGTGCAGCAACTAGACCATATTGGCACAGCGTAAAGCATGGCTGGTCTAAAAACTTGTTTAAATATTAGAAGTTTATTCGTCAGGCAAAGTTTGGATTTCCTGTTTATAAGAGGATACAAACATTTTATATATTTGTTACATTTCGCTTGAATGCCCTCAATGTGATCTTTAAAAGTTAATTTTTGGTCAAGTATTAATCCAAGATATTTCACTTGGTTTGACCAGGAAATTGGAACTCCGTTCATACACACAAAGAAAAATCGTTGCTAAAATTAAAAAAAATCATTGATAGAATTAAAAGTTCGCATTGGTTCTTTTTGGTAGAAAGCGGTTGACTTTCAAAACAAAAGTCAGCCAACTGTTAAATCAAAAATTGTTCGCTCTATACTTTTAAAAGTTAAAGCTTTCAAAATAAATTGTATTACTGTCAAATTAAAAACACGGCAGTGATAGAATTAAAATCAGGTTCTTTTCAATTCAAGACGAAGTTTTGGTTTGAAAATGTGATATAGTTAAAACGATCAGTAACATTTTGAAATAAAAAGTACACATTTTCACCGTAATAACATCTTTATTCATTTTAAATTCTAAATAATATTTAATTTAAGGTTTTCAGATATGAGAAAAGAAAGATTAAAATACATTTATTATCCATTTCCTTTACAAGCGTTATGCAATGAGATTCACGAAGAGACACATATTCACATCCCGTCAAGTAAAGGTCGAGTGAAGGAACACAAAATCCGGACACTGGCAAGGCAAGCTTGATATTGTTTACCATTTCGCAATCTGTAAATCCTATGCCGCAGCTTCAGAAAGTACCAACTGGTGACAGGTTTTACGGGCAGCGGGTTCTCGTCCTTCTCCCGATCAAAGTTTAATTTACCTTTTTCGTTATTATCCAGTAGGGCTTGATCCTTCTCCAACAGGAATTTGATAAGGTCGATACCGAAAACTGTCGCGACTTCTTCCTGGTAGATTCCATAGTCTGATAAAAAAAGAATCTAAAAATCCAATAACAATAACAATGAAAATAGTGTACTTACCATTTGGAATGCCAATTTCACGTGGGTCTCTACATAGCAGCAAATAATGTCGGAATATCCAACTAAGAAAACTTCAGTGTCTGGTATCCCACAGAAGAATCCTGACTCTTGTTGTATCTTCAGAGCTGGATTTCATGTTCACAGCGGCCAGACTAGCAGAAAAGGCGGCATATGAGATGTCAGTGCAGCCAGAAAAAAACATCGCAGAGGGGTACTTTTGACAGTTTAACAACTTTTGTTTTAAAAATATGTACTTTTAAAACCACGAATCAAAAGTAAAAGAAAAACTTTCAATTAAAAAAACTAACTTTTATTTTGAATCTTTTTGCTGTTGAATCTACAAATTTTGGGAAACTTTTAATTTGAAAATGCATTATTTTTATTAATACAATTTTCGTTGTTTGTGTGTAGTGACTATGTGACTACTACTAGGTTTCAAAAAGGAAGCTCTAGGCTTATGTGGAAATATTATAAGTTGAGTTTTGGAAGCGTTGAGAGAAATCTTCCATTTTTGTATATAAGAAGAGAAAATATCTAAACTTTTCTGCAATCTGCTGCAAATAACACGAAGACTTCTTCCTTTAGCGGAAATGCCTGTGTCATCAGCGAACAAAGATTTGTTTTAATTTTATTAATGATAATTCTTTGTGTGTGGGTATTCGGAGGGGCTACGCGGACAAAGTATGAAATACACAGGAATATTCACATTTTCTTATACATTTATTTGCCCTTTTCTGTGGCGTGTGGGTGTGGGTTTTCACATATATGTGGCGTGTATGCGAGGGTTTTAAAATTTGCACTGTACTCACTGCTGCAGCGAGATCTCCTACGGCGTCGCGACGCTGGCGTTGGCCCACACGGCTGCTCCTGCACTACCGTGTGGCCGGAAACTTGCGGTGCGGGCTGCAGACAGTGTTGTTGCAGCTTTGGGAGAATGGCGGATCTGGTGGCGTTCATCAGCCACATACGGCTCAGCAGGCGTTGCTGGCTCGTTTGGCTGGCAGGCGTCTTCCGTCGTTGACGGCATCGGCTGATCGTGGCATGGCCACCTTGGTCGAGCCGAGACGGGACCCTCCTTGGCAATTAAGGCCACTGGCCATCTTGACTTCCGAGCCGAGCCGTGTAAAACCGTTTTATTTGTGGTACGAGGTGTACAAAATGTACAAAAGCACAAGAGTTCCTGAATGTAGGTAGGTTTCCACCCAAACCCCCACAGGGGGGGGGGGGGGGTTATTGTATATGCACTACACTTAACACTCAACTGGTCTACACGGACGCCTGGTTACTTCTGCTTAATCTTCTAAATCTTAGATGGCTAGCTATTTATCATCCAATTTGCGCATCCATTGTTATTTTAAAGCCAAGATATTCCTCCCTTCAGTAACGTTACGTTGTTGTTTGCAGCGGCACAAACTCTCTCGCTCTTGTGTGTGTCTACTGTTTTAGGTTTAACAAAACGTGAATTTTCCAAACAACAACAACTCATACAAACGAAAATCCACGGATTGTAACCAACTGGTTACAAACCATTTATAACTCTGTAGTCTGAACGTACTATTAGCTACGATTACCTAAAATTATCGGTATTTTTTACCGATAAATATCGCTACTTTTTACTTTAGGTATGTCCACTTGCTTCGGTAATTTCTAGGCTTCCTCAGATTTCAACCCAAAAAGTAGGGTTCCTCAGATCGGGCTTTTCCGCTGCCGCTGCCGTTCCGCTTCCGCTGTCATTCCCTAATAAAATTGTTATGTTTATTTTGATTAACGACGTGTTCCGGGTATCATCCCAACCATATGTGGTATAGTTCTATACTTTGTTGCAAGCAATGGAAATAATTACCTTTTTTGACAAAACTCACACGGTAACCGCAAAATACCCAATAATGACTACAAAGTAAGCATTTTCGAGGGAGACTGGGACTACCCATTAAATGAGTTAAATGTGTATTACTCAGTTATGAGTATTTGGTACTCAAAAATGAATACTTACTACTTACTTTTGTAGTTGTAATTACTCATAAATTGGTAAAATTTTACTCTTTTAATGGGTAGTCCCAGTTACCCTTGAAAATGCTTACTTTGTAGTCATTAGTGGGTATTTTGTGGTTACCATGCAGGTAATTATGACGTTTGATTATTGAAAACAATTTGAATGAAGAAAAGAGACCTACCAACAATCAATAAGAAACTAACGATTTTAAATTGGCTCACCACTTGACTAGCCTATTGGTCCCAAGCAAACGATTAACCACAGACAAACAGACGTGACTCTTTGAAAAACTTGTTCTTGAAAACATAGTATCTCAAAACATATAACCTCAGTAACGACATCTATCTGGCTTCTCGCGGAAAACAAGCTTGTTCGCTAACTCGTAAACAATATTGCATACAATTTCTATAGAATATATAGAAACGTCAAAGTGATCCGATGCCAGCGCTGCGGCGAGTAGTTCGCGGAACTGATAATATTCAAATCAACCGTTAAATGCATGAACGAAGATACACAATGAAGAGTTACGTCTGTTTGTCTGTGGATAAACGTACCCTATTCTAGTCGAAATTCTAGTACTACGCAATGTTTGTTTTGATTCGCTATGAAAGTTTGACAGATAAAATGAGGGGTTATTGGTTTTCCCTATGTTTCGAGGGGTGAATCGATTAGCTTGGGACCGAAGAGAGTACCAGAGCTGAGCCAAAAAGTTGAGCACGTTATTTTGGGACCTTCTAGTCTTAGAGTTACCTCTATGGACCTACTGCTGTTCTGATTACATGAGATTTGTCAAATAATGTAAATATTTACACCGATTGCATCGAAGAATGATTTGGGTTATGGTATTTTTGTTATTAGGGTTTCGCTTGGGCCAATCATCATTTTTCAGCAGTGACATCTGGCAGCAGTCTTTGATGCAATTCATCAATTATTGAGTCGATCTTTTTTAAAGATCGACCAATTCTCGCACGCACCGTTTGTCGGTAAAGTAGTTTTGCTGGTGTGTGGAATATCGCAAAACATCGAACTAATAATTTGATAAAAAAAGACGTTAAACAAACTTTGTTAATTATTATTCTATTTTCATGCATATTTTTAAACCAAAGTTTGAAAACTCAGCTTTAAACCAATTATGGGCATTAAAAATCTGTGGAATTTGTTGACGCCGTACTGTGAAAAGAAGCCGCTGTTCCAATTGAACGGTAAAGCGGTTGCGATCGACCTATCCGGTTGGGTGTGCGAAAGTTTGAATGTGGTCGATTATTTCGTCCATCCACGGTTCTATCTGAGGTAAGGAAAGAATCGAATAAAAACATCGGATGCCGATTCAATATTAATTTTGTAGAAATTTGTTCTTCCGCACTTGTTATTTGCTGCAAACTGGAATCATACCGGTGTTCGTGCTAGAAGGTTCTGCACCGCCCCTAAAGTATGGAGTTATTATCAAACGGAACCAACTGCAGTTCCGAGGAGTACGGCCACGCAAAGCTACCGATTGTGATAAAGACGGAAAGCAGAATGGTGCGAATAATGTTGCACGAAAGGCACCGACCGAGCAGAAGCGTAACCGCTTCCATCATGTGTTGAAGCAATGCGAAGAACTGCTCAGTTCAATGGGATTGGTTTGTGTCCAGGCACCCGGTGAAGCGGAAGCTCTTTGTGCCTATCTAAACCATGATGGGCTGGTGTACGGTGTGATTAGCCAGGATTCGGACTGCTTTGCCTATGGAGCCGTTAGGGTATTTCGAAATTTTTGTGCTTCCCAAAAGGGAGGTTCGGTGGACATTTACGATATGGATAAGGTTCGGCAGGTGCTAGATCTGGATCAGGAGAAAATAGTAGCAATGGGATTACTGTCGGGATGCGATTATTGTCCTGCTGGAGTGCCGGGTGTGGGCAGGGAAATGATTAACAGATTACTAACTTGTTGCCTCAGTAGTGAGATATTGGGTAGAATTCGATCGTGGCGCAAATCGGCACAGACATTAACAGAGCTTGAGCTGAAAGTGGACGATAAAAATGTATGTGCCGATTGTGGGCACTGTGGCAAAACGTTTCTCCACCGTCGAGCTGGCTGTCAGGATTGTAGAACAAAAAGTGGATGTGATGATTCGCGGTGGAAAAATAAACGCACCAATATCAAAACTGAGTTGGACATCAAGAGGAAGGCGCTATTGGATCCGGGATTCCCATCAGAGGCCATCATCAGTGAATTCATGGAGCGGACATGCGATCTACCCACGTTAGATTTGGAGTGGAGGCAACCGAATCTCGTGAAGTTTATCGTAAGTGTTTAAGAATAGGTTTCGATGACGACATGTTCAATTGATGAAATTTATCTTTATTTCAGCTCAACATTGCAAATCTTCTTCAGTGGAATGAAATGTATAGCTTCCTGAAGCTGTTTCCCCTTTTTACTCGCTGGCAATTGGTTGCGCTCAGTAGGAACCCATCACTTGGTATCAGTATAAGTATCAAACCAGCTTATATCAAGAAGAAGCGATCGCCAAAAGGCGTTGCCAGTTATGAAATTGTTTGGCAAGATGATAGCTCCATTTTCTCCGGTTTGATCCCGGATGATCAATTGCAAGCATTTTTAGACGAAGCAGGAAACAGTGAAGAGTCACTGTGGAGCACAATCGAGCCTCAGGATCTAGTTTCTACCGTTTATCCAGACCTAGTTGAATCGTTTGTAGCATCGAAGACAAAGCCGAAAAGAAACCCGAAAAGGACGCCCAAGAAACGATCGGAGAAAAAGACGAATGATACCAAACAAAAGCGTTTGGAAGAATTTATGAATGTCATAACCAATGCCATCTCGCAGCAGGATGAATCCGAGGTAGGCGCACCTGAGCTACTGAGTTCACCACTACCCATTCCAGCATCTAAGATGAATTTAAATCGAAGCTTGGCCGACATGTCGATTGATTCCATTGATTTGGAACGCATAGCAAATGAATTGCCAGAGGATGCCGATTGCATGAACTTGTCGGAAGTCATTGATCGTATTTGTGACCCTGCGTACGGCCGTGAGTCTCAAGTAGAGAACAACATTCCATCATCAAACGCCATGAAGGAACTGCTTTCGATGAGTGTTCGGTTTGATGTTGAACACGATGACGAGAGTGATGATGAATTCGATAATCAGAACGTTCAACGAAGGCTGCTTTTGAAACAGGACATTCTGGGCGATGATCCGGATTTGGCGAACCAATCGTTGCTGAACAAATCTACGGTGCCGCGGAAAAGGAAAAGTTTCTTCTTCGAGTCGATTGATGTCCCACCTCCGGACCTGCAGGATGGATACAACGAGATGGACATGTTCGAGTGTTCCCTGATGTTAAAGGATCAGATTGTGGTGCCAGTGCCGGATGAAATGAATCAAACCATTGTTTATGACTTGGACTTTTGAATGAAAATTTTTATTCCTGTTATTTACTATCAATCTGTATGTTATTGCTCGATGACAACACCATTCTATTTCGGATCATGTGGAAGCTTGAAACCCACCATATCGGCTGTCTGGCGGACGCTTCGTTCTCCACCGCCTTTGTATAATTCACTCAGCTCCTTGTGCTGGCGGACGCTTTGCAGGTAGCACAAATATGTCCTTGCGGTAAATTGCATTTCTTCTTTGGCTCTGCAATGCAGCTGTTCGGTAGTTTCATACTTCTTATACTGCGATATAATGTATTTAGCAGCTAGCGACTCCTTGTGGTTTCCTTCCGGACTGATAGCTTTAATTTCGGTTAGAATCCTTTTCAAAGTGTTACCAGTTGTCCTAACTGTTGCCATTGTCTGCTGCTGCTGTTATCGTCAAACCCAACTGAATGTTTCTTGTAATCAGCTCAAGATCTTCTTCGGTGTAGTGCGGTTCCTCGGAAATCCAAAACTCTTCCGGTTTACTACAAAGACTTGAAGCGTCAAAGTAGTGCAGAGAAGTGTCGTTGAATATGTCAGTGTGCTTAAAGTTATTCTTAAACTCGATTTCCCGGCAGCTATCTTCAACTTCCAATATGAAATGAGCGTTTTTCTCAAGCAATCTCCTGGGACTGTTCCTAATTATACCTGCAAAGCTATTTCCTATCAAAAACACCTTCTCCAGTAATTGTGAACTCCAGTTCCTCCAAAGCAAGTTGTTACTGATCTGCTTTGGACAGTGCGGTAAATAGAACAAAGTCGTAACGTCTACCGTATATTTTCCTTCGCAATTTTCTCTCAAAACCACTCCGTTCAGATGTTCTAGAATTTCAACTTCTAGTCTACCAAAGACTGGATCAAAATATTGAATCTGCCGGTCAAAATGAAGCTCTTTCTGAAGGCAATGAATGAACGCCAGTTGATGACGCGAAATTGGACACTCCAGAAATTTTCCGAGTCCGAGACAGATTATCCTTTCCACTTTTGCCCCACTGAGTACAGGAAGTACCTTGTCGATTGTTTGTTTGAAGTAATTTGAAGATTTTAAGTCGAATTGCGTCTCTTCGAAGCACCTAGAATTAGATTGACCTTTTATGTAATCGTCGATCGAGCGGACAAAACTGAACACGACAATGCCGACAAAAACATCAGAGGCGATCAGAGCGTTACTCACCTGAGAAATTGTTCAATGTCTACGGAACCTCTTTCGACAAGTTCTGACTCTCCGGTGTTTGGTTTTACAAATCGTTTCACGAAATGTTTGGTTTTGCGTTGCTTTTTTGAGGAAGTTACAAACACGAAACCATCTGAATCCAGAGAAAAGTTGGATTGTTGTGACATTTTGCTTCAAAGATCCATCGTTGTCCGTGTCGTTGCATTTCGCGGTGCTATAAAAATTCTCGCGAGTGATATCTGTTTACTTGGTCTTTGTTCAACCATTTTGGTTAAAGTTTTTACCTAGCCTTTTTTTCTTACAGTTCGTCGAGGGGCAATTCACTGCTCTCAAAAATGAATCGAAAATACGAGAATGAAAAAAATACACAAAAATTCATCATAACTCGTCATTACTCAAAAAAATGCAAAAAAATACAAAAATTCGGAAAAAAAATACACGATAATTCGCCATTTGCACGAAAAATTCGAAATATGTACAATCAAAATGCTGAATTCGGACAAAATGCGTAAATTTATTATTTTATATTTTAATCCGAGCTCGAATCACAAAACAATGCATTAATGAGTAGGATTTCACCCATTTTCAAGAAAAGTGCCTTAAACCGTTTATTAAATAAAAAACATTAATGAGTAGTTGTGACCCAAATATAAGTAACGAAGGCGTAACAGACTTGGTAACAGATGCTTATTTATGCGTAATGAGCGAGGTAAGGGGCTGTTCATGAACTACGGGGGGGAGGGGTTAGTTGGCAATTATCCACGGCCCAGACACATTTTTAATGTTTTGTATGGACAATTGTCAACGTAGGTGGGTGGGGTGGCTCAAGAATCCCAAAAATCTGTCTACGTAACTAATGTCAAGCCCCTAATGAGTTTATGAGTTAAACCTATTTTCTTTAAATTGGGTGAAATTCTACTCATCAGTGGGTATTTCAAAGTTAGCGTGTGCTGTGCATTTGTCAAACAAAACGTCAACATTGTGAGTTTGATCCGTTTGATTATCGGTTCGAGTGGTAAACATAAACACTGAATTGACAGAATACACTTATAACTGATTTTCAATACATTAATGCATAAAAATACACTTTTATTTTTCTAATACACAGAAAATTACATATATTCAAAAAGTGCAAAATAATACATTAATACGCAAAATACACGTTTATTCGATAAAAAATTCTTCAATACGTTCATCAATACGTTGGCCTGTATCGAAAATACACAAGTGAATCGCCCCTCGCAGTTCGTTGTCTCACACTGAAGGAAATCCTGAATAAAATTGAAATAAAAATACAGCAAGTTTTTCGGTGAAAATAATAATTATTATTGTAGCCCCGATAATCTGAACGACACTTCATCCATAATAGAGATTAGTGACGTTTAACGCACGCACACTAGCGGGGGCAACGCCGTGTAAAGTTGTTTATTATTTTCCTCTGGTTAACCTAAAAAATGTATGAAAGTAGATCTGTCAAAATGAGTTTGACATCGATTTATTATGTATTTTCCTCGGATATTCACTAACACGCTCTCAAATATCGCACCAATACAACCAGACGTGAAAATCTCTATAGGCTTCTAAAACCCGCCATCTTAAAAAAAAGGCTTGATGACGCAGATTTCAAAATGTTGCATTGCAAGGTATGGGAGAAAAGTTTTATAATGCTTTTCAAATGAAATATTTTGAATTAATTTAAGTGTTACTATGAGGAAAGAAAAGTTCAAATCTTCCTATTCAAACCACTTTCATCAAATAATTTGAAAAATTTCGAATATTTAATAATTAAGTACCCGCATAAACGCGAACCAAAACTAGATCTTTCCGAAAATGGTTAAACATTGATGGTGTGATAAAGTTTTAACGTTTTGTATTATGATGTTTTGGAAGTGGACCTTACAAATAATGGGTTGTTAAGAACCATTACCATTAAAAATAGTTGTTTTCTCCATACATTTTCAGAAAGAAAACTATATTAGAACCTTTTCACTTATGGTTTGAAAATTTTAATGGTATGGTTATGATTGTCAGTAAGGTTCATGGATGGTTTTGTATTATCGGTCAACTTTACGTGGAATAGATTGCGAATTGGTAACCATTAATTTACAGGCAACCAATTTGTGATATATTCCACATAAAGTTGATCGATGTTACAAAACCATCTGTGGTAGATATGGTTGGTTTGAATCATACATTATAATAATAAAAGTAATACAATATAAGCATTTCCACTATAATGACAACAGTTTCTTCTTCTTATTCACATTTCAATCTTACATATTAGCTTATTGCGTGCTTTCAACTTAGTGTTCTGAATGCAATTCCTCAGTTATTAATTGAGAGCTTTCGATGCCAAAATACCAATGCATGAATTTGTATATTGTGTGGCAAGCACAATGATACTCTATGCCTAGGGAAGTCGAGAAAATTTTGAACCTGAAAGATTCCCTCGACCGGACCGGGAATCGAACCCACCGTTTCCGGGCTTGGTAATATCGTGCCTTTACTGACTAGGCTATGAGGCCCCGCACATTGACAACAGCATGTATTTCAAAATATAATAAAAACTTCTAACCTAATTTGATCTACTCGATCTGCTCTAAACTTGAATGAAATCAAGTCAGCGTGTAGTATGATGTAAATAAACGCGCACTCACGCACACACATGCTTGCTTGAATTCGGTTGAGTCAGTCTTGTAAAGGATGTTGTTGGTAACGCTGCGTGTTGTGTTGCATGTGTAGTGTGTGATAGAACCGGCTTTTGTGGATTGCGTTGGATCACGACACCATTCATGGACTTTACTGACTACCATACCCATTATAATTAAAGTTATAAAATCATAAATAACAAGGTTCTAATATAATTCCTTTACCGAAAATGTATGGAGAAAACAAGAATTTTGAATGGTAATGATTCTTAACAACCAATTACAGTTGACAGTTGGTGAGCAGCCGACCGACCTTGTCGAAAACCAAAATGCTCCTCGAGTAAGTTGTTTTCGTCGGCAGATGTTGGAAGATGCCGATAAATCGTTTTTTCAAGGAGCTTTGATAACCCTGATAGGAGACAGATAGGTTTGTAGCTGGAAGGAGAGGAAAGATCCTTCGCAGGTTTTATGTTTTGTCCGAGATTATGGGAGCTGATGAAATGTTGGCTAATAACATCAGCCTTCTCAACAGGAGTTATCAGATGACCAACTGAATCATCGGACGATTGAGTGGAACCAGTGGTGGAGTGGGTCTGGGTTAGTTTTTAAGATTCTGGTTAGCTTTCACAAAGGATTTGCACAATTGTCAAGCAGTTTTGGCGTGACTTTCTACCAGCGATTCCACAAAACTGGACCAACTAATTTCTAATTTTTTATGAAACGCACAATTAATGGCTACTTTTCTCGTGGCTCTAGAAGAAAAAATCTCAAAATAATGATTTATTTTAAAGTTCGAGTGGTCATTTCAACTGCTCGAATGAAGTTAATTTGGGTTAATTTGGGAGAAAACGGACTTATTGGCAATTATTTCTGAGATCCACCATCCTTGCTTGAATGATCTTTGTCAATCGCCGCCAGGATAGTCCCGGAGGGAAGAAGTACTTCTGGATGCAATGGTTGTCGCAGACGTTTATCGATTCGAGTTTACCGGAGGCACAGAGAACAGACGTCCAACTTCGGTCAGAAACTTGTGTAAAGATAAGTGGGAACGTCGTTACGTGGCGCTAGCATCTCCTGATTTCCTCTATAAATTTTCCACTTTTGACCAATTTGGCGCTAGTATCGATCTGGGAGTATCGATAAATCTTCTGTTAATAATTGCCACTTGGAGCTACCAGCACTTAGTTTCTAGTGTAAAGAGTGTTTTTAAGTGGGGAAGTCACCGTTAGTGGCGCTTATGTCGAATAGGAATCTTTACACTAGTTTTAAGAGAAATTTTGTTCGAGCCTGTTGTTCACATTGCAAAAATTCATGTGTGGGACACATAAAAACAATCTTTGATATTTTATCTGTGTTTTGCCATAATTTTAGAGATGTAAGTCGTACAAATAACATTTTAAATTATATATTGGCATATACAAAATCATATTAGATGCAAGATAAAGTTATACATGAAGTTGTATAAAGTACCATATTGAATCATATGAAATCATACAATGTTGGAGTATTTTTCCACATGCACGTATATGGCCTCCAGATGTGTACGTATAATTGAATTCTATGTCGAATAAAGATTGACTTAGTAGAGTAGCAATTCATAATGTGAACAAAATTGTTGGCTGGGCAGCCTGTCAACGGCCTTGTAGTGGTTCATCGTTGGAACCATCAGCTTCTAGCCTTCAGTGCAAAAGCGGATGGTGCATTTGAGACCTTTACCGATAAAATAGTCGACTTTCTCCATCAATCCGGGCGGGAATCTCTTCACGAAGAGAGGCGGAAGTGTATCCTTATTTTACAAGTTCGGTTGTTCGCCAATTTCCAGGATGCCGTAACGATTGTTCGCCAAAAGTTTTTTTGATGCCAACTGAGCGGCGTCCGAATTGGATCTTTACCACGGTCGCGTCAACATGCGGCGGTTTTCCTATGCTAGGGTCAAACGACCAAAGACTGCGAAAACTTTCGCAACGAACCTAGCCCTCCCCATGGACATGGAGGTTGACGGTACTGAAGCAAAGGGTTATGTTTAATTTCTTTATATTTGCAACGATGATGATTTCCTATAGTGACACATATCACTTTCTGAATGCTTCAGTATGCCTCAAACGATTAATTCTTGGTTGTTAATAGAACTTCCTTGATGAAATCGGCTGCTTCATGCAGACTGAGCAATTCTGATTATAGTATCAGATTGGTTCTGTATACAGAGGAACTGGGAGGGCTTATTAGAAACCACCAATAACCAATAAAGTAATGATCTTCTAGTAAATTTTGCATATAATTTTATTAATATTTTATTTTATTTAAGCATATTATTTTTGTTACAGTCAATTAGCATTAGCATATGATACAAGATATTTAATATTACTTGCTCGTTTTTGCGTAAAATAATCAATATTTATTTTACTTGTAATTACCTTTGAAAGTTTTTTTCAAGTTTTTTTTGTGACCTGAAAATTTACCCAGTTTGGTTAGACGTTTCGAAGCTAACGCATGTCCACAGGCCTAATAGAAAGATAGGCAGAAAAAGTATATCATAA